CTTTTTTTTCCTACAGAAAACGATGAAACATTTAATTAATAAGATATAAAGCAGAAATCTATTACTACTTTTTTAAAAAACATTTTGTCATTTTATAGATTTTTACTGTGTGAGACAAATTTTGCTTGCGCCGAGGTTCGCAGCGCCGCCTCGCTTCAGGAATCACCTCTAAAAAGATAAATGGTTTCAGCAGTGTCTAATAAAAAAAAAAAGAACTAAAAAAGGTGAGAACGGGGAAAAATAAAAAAAAATGATTGTAATGTAAGTTCGTAGAGAGAAAGAGAGTGAGAGTGAAAGAGAGAGAAAAAAAGAGCAAATTGCAGTGAATTGTAAACATATTACGAAAATTTACCATGTATACTTTCGAGACTAACAATATTTGTACTGTTCGACATTAGAAGTGCGCTGGTATCAGGGAACTGATTCTACTTATGTACAAATGTTATTACGGTTAAAAATACGATATATGTGCAAGGTTAAAGCGCGAAACTTGATATCCAGCTGAAAAAAGAGAGCAAGAGAGAAAACTGAAAGGTTTCTTTCTAGCTTGTCACATAACATACACACATACACACACACACACACACATGAATATATTTTTCTCTTAGCTTGTTTGGAATATTGTAAAATGTAAACGAAAATTTGAGACACTTTGCGCATGTCGTATAGATAGAGCATTGTGTCGAATACTAAGTAAGGTATTTCAATAAGTTTTTCGTTTGTTCATCTTGACGCTACGACAGTTTAGACATTGCTCAAATATATACGGCAACCAATGCTCTAAGCATCTTATCACAAATGTGTTGGATGCATCTTATGAATTTCAAGGCTGGAGATAATGTGCATTCGCGAATAAAAGGATTGCCTTTTTGAATCCTATCTGCTCAGCGAAGAGCGGGCTAACATTTAGAATCCAATGTATGATTGCGTATAAATTAAAATTAAGAGATTAAATAATTCTACGACTTTTACTTGTAAATTAAAATTTACAAGAAAGCTACATTAGTATAATAACTTGTTAAATTGATAGTAAATTTGTTTTGTTTAGTTTTGAAGTTATAATATTATTCGTATTAGATTCTACGATTTTTTCTTTTGACTAGAAAATTTCCCATTTCACATAGATATACAGAAAAATAAAATTGAAAATGTTTTTGCAATTTTTTTATTTTTTATCGAAAATTCTTGTAAAAAACAAAATAAAGATCTCATTTAAGATAAACGTTACGAAGAGCTGTAAAAGTGTCGGGATAATATTGTAGACTATAGTAGATATTGTATGAAGGCATTGTGAAGCGTGACTATTTGGAATAAAGATTTCATAAAATCTCGTCACACACAGCATTTCTGTTCCCTGGTAGCAACGAATTTCTGTAGTTGTAATTAAAAAAAAAAGTGCTGAGTAATGAATATAACTATATACTGTATTCTAACTGTGCCTATTATTAGACATGTTTGTCACGATTATTATTATGTTATTATTTACTGTTATCGCCGTCGTAAAAAATTTTTTTATAGTTTGTAGCAATTCTCATTACGTTGTAGTACTATATACTGCGCGCGATGTTTTCTTTTTCTTTTTTTACTCGATTAAGATAGGGTTCTACGAATCTTGGTGGCTGCGTGCATTTTTTTTATATCCTAGCGTGAAAATTTTTGTTTCGCCGAGTATTGAAAAAAGGCATTTAAAGCACCAAGTAGAAAGTTCTGTCGAAAGTTGTAAGCACAATGTAAAGTGATTTTCGATCGACTATGCCTATGGTCACGACTGTCGAGGAAATGATATGTCGTACGATTTCGATGGGCATTCGAATTACTACTGCCTTTTTCATATTGCGTAAAAGAAAAGAAAGAAAGTGTCTCTCAGTTACCACAATATTTTTTGGAGCATCGTACGCCGATGGTGTTCACGCCCACACACGTAAACACAGAAAAATATATACTATGTTACGTCGACTGTCTACCGACTATTGATTGTGAGAAAAAAGAAGAATAAATACGAAGAAATATAAGCGGGTTCAATTATTAATGCTAAGTAATGTCTACTTGACGTTCGCGATAGATACGCGTTAAAGAAAATCGTGGACACACGTGAGCGATCGTTTGAAAAATTCAGGGGATTTCATTTAAGCTGCAGAAAATACCTCCGTATTATATTATGTAAACATTCATTATCGAAATAAACTTAAGACTGAAAAGGTGTAAGATTATTATTTTCCTCTCAATAAAATTGTTACCATTTTTCTATACAAGACATAATTGTCACAAACGATTTACTTTATTATTTGCAGGTAACATATTGCGAAGAAATATATTATATACTTATACATAAATGTTTCATATTACAATATTACTGGTATTAAATATTTATGTCTTGACCGAAAATGTGCAATAATCGAAAATGTACACGACGATTCTTTCTGTCACACATAACTCGCAATCCTCTTAAATCAGTTTTATAACGAAGTAATTCCATTAGCAGTATTATTAATAGTATGGCTTCGAGGGAAGCCCCGGCAAGACTATATGAATCCGCACTGGATATCGGAGACGTGTCACTTCTGGGCGGGAAATAAATTTCTCTGCTAAAACACTTCGTTCGTTTAGAAAAAAAAAAACAGTGCCAAATGTTCCCTATATTATTTTTGGTCTTCGTTGTAGCCATTAAAGTATTTAAAAAGACCACTCCTAATGGTGAGTACGCTTGAGTACACTTCTATTGAGACTTCTTCAAAATGTTATTTATCTTCCTTAATGAGCTGCGCTTAATAATAAAAATCACGTTAAAATATCTTATAGGCAAAATTACGGTATATCTGGGCAAAAGAGATTTTATCGACCATCTAGATCGCACTGATCCCATCGACGGTGTTATCGTCGTGGAAAATGACTACCTTCAGGGACGCAAGGTCTTTGGTCAGGTAGGTAAAGTATAAAAGACATGTAATTGTAAAAATGTTCTCAGATATGATTCCTGAAAGTCGTCCAGCATATTTCTCATTAATATATAATATTATAACGTTATATATTGTATTTAGGTCTCGACAACCTACCGATATGGCCGTGAAGAGGACGAAGTTATGGGAGTCAAATTCAGCAAGGAGCTGGTCTTGTGTCGCGATCAGATAATACCGGTGAAGAAGGAGAAGCAGGAGACTACATCAATACAGGATCGTTTATTAAAGCGCTTGGGTTCAAATGCATATCCATTCATGTTTCATTTTCCGCAGACGGCTCCTTGTTCGGTCACTCTCCAACCCGGTGATGATGATCAAGGGAAACCCTTAGGAGTCGAGTACGCTGTGAAAATATTTGTTGGAGATAACGAAGAAGACAAGGTATAGAAATGGGAAATGAGACATACATAAATATGAGAAATTAATGTGCGATATAAAAACAAATTAATTTAAACCAAAATTATTGCAAAAATCTACTTTATATTTTATCAGGGACACAAAAGGTCTTCTGTTTCATTGGCCATCAAGAAGTTACAGTACGCTCCACCAATACGAGGTCGCCGACTTCCCAGCTCTTTGGTTTATAAGGGATTCACTTTCTCCCAGGGCAAATTGAATCTAGAAGTTACACTGGACAAAGAGCTCTATTATCACGGCGAGAAAGTCGCGGCGAACGTCACAATTACGAATAATTCGCGAAAGGCAGTAAAGAACATTAAGGTACATTCTAAAATTAAATTCTATCTTTTTCTCGTGAATCGATCAAAATTAAATCAAAGTGTTTGCATTTTACGCTATCCTGTTTTCTTCGTAGTTGTACGTTGTTCAACATTGCGAGGTGACCATGGTAAACGCCCAATTTTCGCGACATGTGGCTAGTTTGGAGACTCGCGAGGGTTGTCCAATCACACCAGGTGCATCCTTCACGAAACAATTCTATCTTGTGCCTCTGGCCAGCAGCAACAAAGATCGGCGTGGCATCGCTCTCGACGGGCATCTCAAAGTGCGTAATAAGCTTAAATAAGCTTGAAATGATTAAACGTAATTATTTTATTAATCAATGACTCTTTTCTTATATTATGCTGTTAAAATATATAAAAGATTATATAACATAAACATTGCCCATATTACAAAGTATATTTATTTAAAAATATTGTTTATATAAATACGATATATAAACTTATAAAAATTAATGTGTTAATATGACATATAAATATATAAAAAAATTAATATATGTACTAATAATAATATAAAAAAATTCATCTTGAGTAATCTTTAGGATGACGACGTAAATTTAGCATCCTCAACTTTGGTAGCCGAAGGCAAGTGTCCAACTGAAGCTTTGGGTATTGTAATCTCTTATTCAATCCGAGTAAAGTTGAATTGCGGTACTTTGGGTGGTGAGCTGGTTACAGATGTTCCATTCAAACTGATGCATCCAGCTCCTGGTATGTTGTTTAAAATATTTTGATATTGTATATGTATTATAATTATAGATACTATGTATATAGATTACTGTAAATATCTTAATTGAACAAAACAAAGTTTACTTCCATTTTTAGACGAAAGCATTTAAAATTTAAATAAAACATTTTAAATATTCAATTCAGATTTATTCAAGCATTTTCTTTCTTTCTACAGGTGCCATGGAAAGAGAAAATGCTATATTGAAGAAAAGCAAGAGTATTGACAGAGCACGATATGAGAACTCCTGCTACGCCAATGATGACGATGATAATATCATATTTGAAGACTTTGCTCGTTTGCGCTTGAATGAACCAGAGTAAACCAGAGAGACAAAGAGATAGAAGAAAAAAGTGAAAAATTTTAACGTTTTTTATTTTGCGATTATTTTAAAAGAATCCTAAGCTTTCTATTCGTAGTGAATTATCTTTCGTGTTTAAAATAAAAAATTTCATTTTTCAATTATTAAACCTAAAATTAATTACACATAATTAAAAAACATATAACTTGAGATATTATAATTTACTTAAAATTTTCGTCTCTTTGGATTCTTTTGACTTGGTTCCTAATAAAACGAGCTGTATTAAATGAATGTAGGTAAAAAAGAACACTATTCAAGAAAAATTAACTGTATAATATTATGAAACTGTTACTGAAGAAAAAAAAATGAAAAAAATACAAAAAAAAGCGAAAAGATAACTAAATATAAAAAAAATCGTCTCGGAATTTCTGTGCAATGGTGGTGATTGGACAGAAATTCATTGCAAGATGAACAAAAAAAATGTCAAGTAAACTTAATAATTGTAATATTAAGTTTAAGAATTTCCCGTTTTACCAGAAGTGACATGGTATGTATATTATTCGTCCCAATTAATTTCTTATGTTTTATGATATTCCACACATTAAATTATTTATTTATTAACAAAGAACTGTTGATTAACGATATTGTTCAGTTGCAACTACATTAGAAAATACATATGAAATTGTAAAAAAAATGCACCTTTATCTTTTCTCTTTTCAAATCGATTTTTCAAATACTTCAGATGCTACAGCGAATACATGCACCTGCTACATTATCGATATAGAAAAATACATACAGGACGAACCTGTCAGGATTGCTACGTCACTATAAAAGATCATCGCATCATTATCGAAAATTATATATATTTTGTGGCTATACAAAATATTACAGAGAACAACGATACCAAATCAATATCAGTCTTATGCAGAGCATTATGAAGACGACTCTCGTTGTTCTTCGCCTAGTCGTACATATGCGAATAATATTCCTGATACGTCTGGATATAAGATTCCTTCTCTATGGGCGTCATTTCCGCAATTAAGGTGTCGTTAACGTCGGTGATCGCAACGGTTTTGCCGCCGACACTGACGGTCGGTACTAGTTCATCGTCTTCGGAATCCATTGCCTCTATCTCACCTAAAAATAGATTCGGTAATAGTAAAATTTAACAAGATACAGATTAATTAGAAATCATTCGAATATTCTGCAAGTTTCATTTTTATATAATAATTTTTCACTTTCGAAGTCTTTTGTATATTATTCTCTCTTCAGACAATTGATTGTCGCGAACAATTCGGAATCTTTTGATAAATTTTATGTCTCACCAGTATCAACTGTCTGCATTTCTTCCTCCTCGTTATCGCTACTGTCGCTAGATTCCTGTGGAAGCGCTGCTTTGATAGACGCCGCGGAATTGGTCCCGCCCTTCTTCTCGTGAGCCAATAACACTGACATAATGTCTTCGCCCTGTTTATTATTCGTCGTAGTCATGTTTGTGGCAGTGGCTGCAGCTTTGTCCAAAATGCTGTCTTGCGCATTCACGCCATCAGGCTGTAAGACATTCGAAAATAAAGATTAAGATCTATATAACTTAAGATACAATTGAAAAGCAACCAGAACAAGAGATTTCAATCTATTAGAACACAGTTTCTAACAGCTTGATTTGTTATTTCATGTTCCATTTGCCTGCGTTTTTCAATTGTGCCTTAAATTGTATCTCAAGCTACAGAAAAAGATGCAATAGAACAACAGAAATAATACCTGTGAACCATCGGAATTGATAACTGTACTTTCCCTCATCCATATGGGTCTCTCCTTTCTGTGATTCGACGCATCATCGGGAGATTCGTCTCCAATAGTAACATCCACTCTAGTATCCTCCACTATAAAGCCTGTCATTCTAGTAGCTTCACCCGACCACTGTTCGCTAGGTGCTCTAAGACTGCTTGGTTTTCTTGTGTCAATACTATTCAAAATAATTATTTTAATAAATATCGTTATACATGAACATTTCTTTAGAAACACATACCCTCGAATAGTATTGATATCAATGGGTTCCGGTTCCAGTATTTCAGGCGCCAATTTGATCCCTTCTACTTCCCTTAATAGTATATAGAGTGGCTCCAATTGTTCATTAAATTTTGCTAATAATAATCTGGAATCTTTCTTTGGAAGAGCAGACTGATCTTCTTCCACTATCTCTCGACAATATGTACATCTAAATTCGCCAGTTCTCATGTCGAAAAGTTGATCAGCCTGTACAAAAATTAAATCAAATCTGTGTAACATATATCATGTACTTTAAATTAAAAGATTTCTTGTTTAATGTACTTTTGGAACTTAAAGTGAAATAGATATATTTAATATTTGGTGAAAGCAAGAGACAGTTCTAATGCAGTTTAGTACAGAAGTAAAAAAAAACATCTATTATTATAATATAATGTATTATAATAAGTCTGTTTAAACTGTCATATTGTTTTAGTTTTATATATATATATATATATATACATATATATATATATACATATATTATCTTAATTATAATATAATAAAACAAAATAAAAACTGTTTTATCTTAAAAAAGAAATTTTCTTAATTCAATTCTTAAGATTACATCAAGCTTATCACATTGCTATACTTACTTCAAGATCAGTAAATGTCTTTAAACAACTCGGACACTTAAAGCTAGCTCTACTAGTTGCATCTCTCTCTTCAGTTTCCATTCTTTTTCTCATTAAATCAAGTTTATACTTCACCACATTTACAAACGTCTAAAACAAAGACACAAACTCTTTTTATTCATTCTTCTATTTGCTAGCATTTTCTATCAAGTTAAAGAGAATCGTAACCATGTTACCTACTTTATAATTAATAAAGTAATAGTTGACTTTCTGTGCTTTGCCATCTGATCCTGTCTCCATCTTCAATCTCACTTGAATGAACTTATCATTTCGCAATGTGGATATTCTGGCTCTTAACATCTTGCGTTCAAACTTAAGCAATTCACAAATGTCATCTTCTTTCATACCTGGTGGTATTTTATTATAAAATATTATTCCAATTACATGAAATATTTTCTAAATCAGTATATAATTACTTACATGGATTTCTAACCAGCATATCTACAATTAAAGCATCTTCAATCGAATAAAACCCACGTACAACAAGACGTGCCAGTTTCTTCAAGCTACTAGGTACCTCAGTGACAAGTCTCTCCTCGGCGCTCATATTTCAGATGATAAAAATGGTTTTCTAACAATCGATATCGTTACCGAATAACAATAATTTTACCAATAATATTATAATCGTTATTATTATAATATTACGTTTACTGTCCGTTCACAGACTAAGTTCACAATTTCATATCAAACGCACTTTACGATAAGCACACACACCGCATTCTCCAAAAATACGATCGTTATACTTGTAAAATTGTAAGCGCATCTTCATTTTTCTTCTAGAAATCAGATCTACTTTGTTAAAAATAAATATTTTATAGTAAAATATCGACAAATGGAAAATACAAAAGTTTCATGAATACAAATATTACATTACGAATTCTTACAATGATCAGAATTTTCTCCTGTTTTTCTTCTTCTTCTCTCGTTATATCCTAAGCTAGAACGTCGCTCTACGTTTCAGGAATGTTGGAAAAATCACAAGAACACAATAGGTCTATTTTTTATTGCTGCGCTTTCTGAACTGGTATACACAGTGCAATAAGTTTAAATGAAACAAATATACATTTGTTTCACTTCAACTTATTGCATCGGTTTAGAGTGCAGCAATTAAAAACAGACCTAATATCGCCCGTCGATGCGCGGTGAATTTATGTCGCGACTATCTTGGAGTGTCTTTAGGTTAGAATCAGGAAAATCCCGCAATTGCGGTATTGCGCCATTTGCGCCGCATGATGCACCACAGTGCTGTGAGCGCGCACGGCGGAATACGTGCGCGGCTCCGAGAACGCGTCTGCCAGTGGTAGTCGCGCGACTACGCATGCGTAGACTATGCTCCTCGAATAAATCCCTAGGAAAATTAAATTTATTTACAGGTTGATCTTTGGAAGCATTGTGATGTTCTTTTATTAATATAAATTTATTTAAAAAAAAAATAGAATACTCTCTCTACATTCCCTACTTGAAAGAAAATATTGACAAGGAAAATAAAAAGATACCTTCGTTCGAGCGAAGTCTCATAGAGGACTCTGAAGTATTTTGAAGATTATTTTGGAAATCAGAGAAATTAAGTTGTGTCTGCTCTCGAAGAGGCAAAAACTAGATCGTAATATCAAATAACACATATATTGTGACTTGTAAAAGATCGGAAATCTATACAGGGGTTTGAAAGAAAAAGAAGAAGAAAATAAAGAGATGACATTTCCTTACATCTCATTAGTCTTTTCCACTGGAAGACACGCGCATGCGTGTTGCATGGAAAACTGCGTGGCAGTCGTGAAACTACTATCAACACACGTCTGCTAAATGATTGCGATCAAAATCAAATGTCAATAAATTTTCACACAAATAATTCACGTATAAAGAATTTTAATAAGATTTGTTAATGGCAGCGATCGATAAAGTTAAAATTATCGTAGTAGGCGACTCAGGTAAGCATAAAAAAAATATTTAATATTTTAAACATACAATAATCTTTTTTCTGGATTATTATCGATATTCTGTAATATTTTATGTGAATGAAATCAAATGAAACTTAGGATACATATTATGATAAAAATATTTCTTGTCGTTAATATTTTTATTAATATCAAAGATATTTCTAATATTTATACATTTAGGTTATGTATAATTATGTATAATATATATGTTTTTTATAACTAAACTGGTGAGTACTCTTTGTATTTAAAAAGAAATTATTAGTCCTTTCCTTTTAACTGAACTTCTTGCACAATTTATCTTTCCTTTTTTTCTTTTTACATTGAATAAAGAAAAGAAAAAAAAATAAATTGTGCAAGAAGTTAAAAAGTGTAGATTTAATTAATGTTTTTATATATTTGACAAAAGTGAGAAGGAAAATTTTAGAGCAGTGCAGTGATAAAAAACAAATCTAATATGTACAGATTAGAAAGTGTTGTAAGAAGAATTATTACTTTTATGAGAAAATGTATCATAGATAATAATGATAAATATAACAATATATTATATAAATATAATAATAATGATAAATTGTAACAATGATAAATATCTTTATTATTGCAGGGGTCGGTAAAACATCGCTGACACACTTAATATGCCAACAGCAACCTATCGGCAATCCTGCTTGGACAATAGGTTGCTCAGTAGAAGTCAAGTTGCACGAGTACAAGGAAGGCACACCTAATCAAAGAAGATATTTTGTCGAGCTATGGGATGTTGGTGGCAGCCAAAGTCATAAAAACATAAGATCTGTATTTTACAATCCCACAAACGGTACCTATATTTTATAATGATTAAATGTACAACATCTATATTTCTTTGATATACGAATGCATAATTGCAACAGAATATAACAGTGATTGCAAATATATGTCGTTTACAACTAGGCATAATATTAGTCCACGATTTAACGAATCGTAAATCACAGCAGAATCTGCAGAAATGGCTGGAGGAGGTTTTAAGTAAAGATGGGACTTCCTCAAAGTCTAAGTTCGAGGATTTTGATCCTGAGAAGTTTGTGGGTTCAACGCAGGTGGCAATAATTTTCCAAACTATTGTGATATATTAATGTCAAATTACATAAATATAATAAATAACACTTATTCCTAGATTCCAATTTTAGTCATTGGCACGAAATTTGATCTAATCTCGGACTCTAATTTCGTAAAATCCAACATACACAGACGTTCTGCAACCATCGCAGAAGAATGTGGTGCCGACGAAATATTTTTGGTAAGGATTACTTACCTGAGAGACTCGCCATTTAAAAAAAATTAATTAAAATTTAATTCGATATATTAAAATTTTTAATCAACATGTGACTAATGTTTCTGTTTTACATTATTGTAATAGGATTGCCATCAGATAAGATCTTTGGCAGCAGGCTCCAGTTCGTCCGTGAAGCTGAGTAGATTCTTCGATAAAGTTATCGAAAGACGTTACTATTCCTCCAAAGAAGCGATCAGTCCTGATAAACGAAGGCCACCACTATATACTTCTTCGATCTATCCAAAGTTTTATCATAACGACTGAGTGCCAAGAGTGCCACTGAGTATCAAGAGATCTGAATCTTATTTCTTGTTATACAGAACAATTGTTCTTGTGACACGAAGCGTTATAGGATTGCGCGAATTAAGTATTGCAAGACTATCGATCTCGCATTTCTTATTCACATTCCTAATCTTCCCATGGAAGTATTTTGTCAGATGTGCTCAAAAAAAAAAGAAAGACAACTATCAATGCAATGTAGATAAAAATATATTAGGTATTCGATATATTTTTCACGTATCTATATTGTAGAAACGTCGCATTGTATACAATTGTTTTATAATGTAACATAATATAATCTATATCTTGTTATTAGCAAAATATAATTATATAAAAATATATATACATTACATTTTTTTGTTAAATTAATATAGAATATCCTACAATGATTTCTCAACAGTGTGAAAAGCTTGTGGATTAAAATTGTAACAAGGTGAATTTTCGTCGATTGATCAATTATATAATGTGTTATGTGCAAATACAAGGAATTAATTGTGCATTTTTAAACGAGATGAAAATTAAAATGAATTTAAGTTTTGACCAATGAAATTATAAATATACCGACTTCCTCAGCTTTTACGGAGCAAGATTATATTTGAGCATAAATACGATTGATCAATTAATAAAATAAAATAAAAAATAAAATAATCGCGTACCATCAGTAGCGTATTCTTGGGCTGTGATCAAAGTCTGGCTACAAATGGAAAAAACTTTGAAGCGTTTAATGGACCAATTAAAAGAAAGAATTTTACAAACTGACCAATTAAAAACCGCTTCAAAGCGTTTGCAACATCGCGTTGATCATACGCCTTGGTCTACTAGACTGCAAATAAGCGCAGAATGATGTCAGTCATACCGATGACGCGGATTGGTCAAGCTGTGCCAAACTGCCGGGATAGTTACTTCGTGGTATGAATTCGCTTTCATGACGGCGCGAACGAAATCTTTCAAAATACACGTCCTCGCCAGCGAATGAATACGGATGGCAGAAGCGCGTGACAGGTGCGCGGGACAATTCGCACGTATGGTTTAAACGGATAGTCTAGGATAGTCACGAAGCGGGGGGAAAGCAGGCCTTTCCTCCTGTATTGAAGCTCTGTGGACGTGGACCTCGACTTAGTCGATTCTGTCAGTGCCGCGATCCGGTCAGCTCTGGTTGTGAGTGTGAGATCAAGTGAAACGACGTGACCTGTCCGGCTCTCCACATGTGTGAGTGTCTAATTTAGGTCAGGCACGTGTACGTGCCTGTTTTTTTTTTCCGTTTCAAGGTTATCGCATCTATACATTAATAGATATAAAACTGATATAATACCGATGATAACATCGATGAAAGGATTACTCTGCCAGATTTCTGAGACTATGGGCGACCTCGACCAAACTCCGATTAACTTAATCGTTATTAATGAGGTTGTCAAGTAATACATATATTTGATAACACAATTATTAATTTTAATTATACGGAAAAAAAGATTAGGAATGATGAATTATGTAGTTATTGGAGATTTAATTTGAAGTGATTCTGTCAGTTGAATTAGTTGTCAAGTAATTAATTGAAGCTAAGTTGTCCTACACATTCAAGCTTGTAGCATATTATAAGTGTGATACTTGAATAACATGATGAATCATACATCTTAATAGGTAGCTTTTTTGCTTTCCAGGTAATATTCCTGCAATTATGTCTTATCATTTCGCAAAAACGTGTGCTAGCACGAATAGTCTCTGTCATGTGTTGACACATGTACGACCTATGATTTGTATTAAGAGATTTAGCTACACTCATGATATAAACATAAATTTGAATGGTGGACCAGTCAGTATTCTAAAGCAGAAAATAGCTAGGGGCAAGCTGATGAACGATACGTACCAGACGAAAGTGGCACAGACCCTGCAGCAAATTTACCAAGAAGTTCAAGATTATAAGCCGCAACAATTAAATATGTTGGAAAAATGGTTTTACAGCAAGCGGAGAGATGCGCCGAAAGGGTTGTACATTTACGGAGCAGTGGGTGGAGGTAAAACAATGTTGATGGACCTATTTTACAATTGTTGCCAGGTATCTCTCTGGTTGCTGTATGCATAAGCACTGTGCATGGAAGGCTAAATTTATACCTTAATCTGTTCAATGTGACAACACATGTTTTTTTTGCACAATCTAAAAGTAGAGATAACAATTCTTGTGTAATTTGCACGACTTGTTGTTTATTATTAAAGTAACAGATAGATAATTGTGCAATGAGATATCATAAGAGATTTTTAAAATTGAAACAAACAAGTTAAAATAAAAGTTTAAATAAAAATAAATCGTTCAGAATAAATAAGTCACTTGATTGACATCTACAATGCACATGGATTGCTAGTACCTCCCACTTTTCATATATTATATCAACTTTAAACTGAAATTAATTTTTCGTTTATTTCTCCCAAATATAAGAGATAAAATATGAAATTGTATTCGTTTTCAAGACAGACCATGTACATTCAAATCATCTTTAATAAAATAATGAATGCATATTTTTTGCGTATTGATGTTTTAGGTACCTTTAAATATTTTTATGTGTTATTGATTCTTGATTTATTACATTTAGATAATGAAGTGCAACATTATATCAGATATCAAATTGGCATTAGCAATCCATATGTATATAGTTGAAGATTAACACATATTATGGCTTTCCATGTATAGTACAGAACAAAAATGAAATTTTTTTCAAAGTACAATGTAACATACTTTCGAATAAAAATGTTTCAGATTGAAAATAAGAAAAGGGTCCACTTTCATTCTTTCATGCTGGATGTGCATAGTAGAGTGCACGAGGTAAAGAAGACCATTGTACGAGATATGACTAGTACCAAGCTGCAACCTTTTGATCCGATACCTCCAGTCGCCTCTGGCATTGCAGAAGAGACTTGGCTGTTGTGTTTCGACGAATTTCAGGTTCAGATTCATATTATTTCAAGAAAACAAATATTACTTGTAAGGTATAATTAAAAATAAAAGATCAATGAAAACAGATGCGTTGCAGGTAACGGATATCGCAGACGCGATGATATTGAAACGGCTGTTCACGGAGCTGTTCGATAATGGCGTGATAGTGGTCGCGACTAGTAACAGATCGCCAGATGATCTGTATAAGAATGGACTGCAGAGAGGAAATTTTGTACCATTTATAAAAGTGCTGAAAGATCACTGCCTCGTTAGTAATTTGGACTCTGGGATAGATTACAGACTAAAATCGGGATCCGGAAATAAGAAGATTTACTTCATGTGTGTAGAAATTAATGTGTACAATTTGTGATAACTGTCTATATTGTTGCCGTCTAACAAGCCGTTTAATTATACAAGAAAAGGTAAAGATGCCACGAACGACGTGGATAAAGTCTTCAAATACCTGTGCTCCATGGAGAACGACGTGATACGATCGCGCACGATTTCCATAAGAGGACGCAATGTCACTTTTCGAAAAACCTGCGGGCAGGTGCTGGACTCCACTTTCGAGGAATTATGTGACAGGGTGAGAGATCTTTTTTGTGATCTAGTATTTATATTCTATGTTGATTATAGAACTATATATGATATTGATCTCCATGTAGCCTCTTGGAGCAAGCGATTATTTGCAGTTGAGTCAAATTTTTCATACTGTCATAATAAGGGACATGCCTCAATTGAACCTAAGACTTAAATCTCAAGCTAGACGATTCATTACTCTTATCGATACATTGTACGATAATAAGGTAAGAATTATGCGGCTTTAATTACAAATTAAATAATATTTGCGATTTGAGACATTAGAGGTTCAATTATATAATAAGTACCGAAAATTTTGATAAAAGAGAAGAGACAGAATTTTGGCTAACGCAAATAGGATGAAAATTTTCTTCAAACAAGAATTTTCGTGTAAATTGAAACTTTAGAAATATTAAGAAAACTTACATTTTTTTCTTAGAATTTTTCAAATATGTGAGTTCTGAAAAATTTAAAGGTTTCTCACTCTATAATTTTTTAAAAAATACCGTAAACTTTTCTTAGATTTTATAAAATTTTATCAGAAATTATAGAATGAGAAAAATTTTAGAAATTTAAAATATTTCAAAATTCATGTATATGCAAAATTCTAAAAAAATTATAGTCTTTTTCGACTTTAATTTGTATAAAAAATCTAAGAAATTTTCTAAAAAATTATTCGGAACAAATTTTTTACCAGAGCCAATATGTGACTAACGAAAGTTTATTAAATTGCAGGTACGGGTAGTTATGTCAGCGGCTGTACCACACACACAGTTATTTTTATCAGAAACCGAGTCCGAATATACCGATGAGAAAAGGATGCTGATGGACGATTTGAAGATTACGCATGGCTCGGTAGACGTCGATTTTACAATAATGACGCAAAAAATCTCGTATGAAAAATTATTACATTATGTTAATTTTGTTTTCAGGAGGATCACAAGGCAAACATCTTTACTGGAGAAGAGGAAATCTTCGCGTTCGATCGTACCGTATCGCGTTTGGCTGAGATGCAGACCTCACAGTATTGGGAGCAGTGGGAACACCACAGATAATGATGGTGTTAAAACTAGTACAAATAGATTTATGTGGCTCCGTACGAATTCCCACTCACTTAAAACTAAAGATTGTTAATGATGATTGTAATTTTATAAAACGATCTCTTGCGAGTAGTTATTTAAGTTTTCATCAGGTGTGCGCTTTACGTTTGAAGCGTTAACTTTCGCGCTTTCAGTATTTTACTTCGTAAATTATTTTGTTAGGAACGCAAGTTCCTTGAAGATTACCTCTAATCATTAATTTTATTTATATGATTTATGTGCAAAAAATCCTATTGAATGCCAAAAAAATTGCCCTAATGCAAATATATATGTTTGTATTTGTGTAGGTATATATATATATATATATTTCAATTAAATGAAATTTTGCACTGATGACGTTTGTTGATTATTCGTTTCTTTGCTATATTACAATAATATCGAGATCGAATGTCATATCTTTGCAGATTTGATTATCGACTATCGGTCATATTGGTATTTTAATTATCTACGGATTCAGTAAGCCTAGTGATATATTGGAGCGAATTATTGAGAAAAGAATGTCCCGATTTCTAACAGTGACACTGGTGCAAAAGATTGTACTGTTTTTTTTGGGAGGGAGGATTTGTTGAATGTTATTTTACATAAGTAGAAAAGAGTTAGAAGGACAAGTATTTGCCTGCCTTTCTCTGCCAGACTGCAGTTTTTTATAATTTAATATAGAGAAAACGTGTTCCAGTATATTATAGAACTCACTGTCTCTCGATGAGGTAGATTGTATGTATGTGTGTGTCCATATGTGTATAACTCTAAAAGTCTGTGTATTTCTTCCAACAGTTTACCGATCCACAATATAAAAACACAAAATAAACTTTTTGAAAATATATAAATACAAGAAATATGCTTGAAATTGTTATCTCTAGTCCTAAATGCGAAAAAATTTGTGTATGTATCACGTGTTATGAGTGCCTATAGTTCTGTATCATTCTGTACCTCTTGCATATCGTGCCTATCATGCTTATCACTTATAGCAGTGGAGAATACGTAATTGCACATCTTATTTCAAACGAAAACACAAATCAACGGAACATTGGACATATCAGACGAAGAAAGGTCTGGGGCCGGGGATAGCCGATAAAAAGAAGAAAAGAAAACAGATCAACAGGGACATTGTTGGATGTGTACGATAATCACGGCCTGCTAATTTAATATAGTTTTCATATAAGTTTATCCAAGTTTTTTTCCGAAATCATGGATTATCGTTGCCCAGAGTTCAATTCGAAAGACGCAATTCAAAGTAATTAATTAATGCTATTAATAATTCTCTAATTCTATATTATTTTATGCAAGCATATATTATTTTTTTGTACAATATATATATGTGTGTGTGTGTGTGTGTGTATGTGTGTGTGTAAAAATAATAGGAATATATATATGAAGTTATAATATATTGTATATTATATAAATATTAATATATTATATTTCAATTTTATTTTTTAGCCTGGTTAACAAGTTTGGAGGCATATATTAATGAACCAGCAATAAACAAATGTGTTCGACAAATATCTTATTTAGCAACCACAATAACAGATGATAATAAAATTGCTTGGTTACTAAAGGCAATAAGTTTCATTGATTTAACTACTTTGAATAACGACGATACAACTAGCACCATAGAACAATTGTGTGAAAATGTAAATTGAAACATGGAGTTATTATTCTTTACTTTAATGTGAATATAATATCTATAATTGATCACTTAATTAATATTACAGGCTGCAAATCCTATAAAGGACCTTCCGTTTCTATGGGATAAACCACTTCATACTGCTGCTATTTGTGTTTATCCATCCAAAATAAAAGATGCAATGAATACCTTAAAGAGATTGAAGAAAACGAATATAATTAAGATCGCTAGTGGTACGAAATATTAATCATTTCTTCCTGGTATGAGTAACAATATTATCTAATATATTTTTTGCATCAGTGGCAGCAGGATTTCCTTCTGGATTATTTCCATTGGAGACTCGAATAGAGGAAGTGCGTTTAGCAATAGAGTATGGAGCACAAGAAATAGATATTGTGATCGATCGATCGTTAGTTTTAAATCATCAATGGATGATGCTGTATCAAGAGTTGCTATCTATTCGTGCACTTTTGCCTAAGAATAAGGAAAGGACAGTATGTTTAAAAGTTATAATATCATCAGGAGAATTGTTCAATTTGAAAGATGTATATAAGGCATCCATGGTAGCTCTATTTGCTGGTGCTGATTTCATTAAGACATCTACAGGAAAAGATTTAGTTAATGCGACTTTGCAAGCGGGAATTGTTATGTGTAGAGCGATAAAAGAGTTTCAAAGACTGGCTGGAATAAAGGTATATTAAATAGCAATTTAATTATTTGTGATAATCTCGAGATTTGTATAATATAGCTTTAATTAATTTTCACAGACTGGCTTTAAACCTGCCGGAGGAATTAAGACTGCGCAAGATGCTTTAGAATGGATGGTCTTGATTAAGGAAGAATTGGGGAATGATTGGTTGACAAGCGATTATTTTAGAATCGGTGCATCAAGTTTATTGGAAAATATTAGTACTGAAATTAGCAAAACATATCAAAACAAGTCAATTTCACGATCACTGGAAGATTTTGAAAATGAGATGTCTGAAAGAGATAACGATGAAGGAGATAGTAAAGACAAAAAAGATGAAGAAGATGACGCAGATAATCAAGAAGATGTAGAAGATAAAGGAAAAAATAAAGATCAAAATAAAAAGTCTAATTGGGTCTAGATAAGACAGTGATAAAATATTTTTATATCGTTTTTATATATTCATAATTTCGATCATATATTCAAAAATAATTTGTACGTATTAATAAATGTGAATAAATTTTATTTTCATGATGCTCCAAGAGTTAACTTATTAAAAAATTCACCCGAAGCGCTAAAATCAGCACACACACTCTCTCTCTCTCTCTCTCTCCCTGCGAGCGTGTATATGTGTACACTAAGGTTGGTAAAAAACATGTTTTAAACATGTTTTAAACAGTTTAAAACATGCTTAATTGATGTTTTTAATATGTTTTTTTATAATACTGTTTAAAGTATATTTGTAGGATTAAAAATATATTTAATAAAAAAATTTATTCTTAAAAAAAAAAGTACCAATCCTAGTGTACACACACACACGCACACACACGCACGCACGCACACACACACACGCACGCACACACACACGCACGCACACGTACACACACGTACATAATGATGAGATTTAGGATCACATTTTTCTGGGGAAGACCGATATGGAGGTACATTTCTCCCAGTTTTGTTTGAATTGTAAGGGGGAGTCAAAAATGGTCTTTATCACAATTCCTTATCTTTCAAACTACGTCATGTGTGAAACATATAAGTAGTACAGAATACGTCAGAATAAGTGATATCGCGACGCCCATGCGTCTAAATATATCAATCAGTAAATAGATCCTACATAATTAACATATTTGATACACATAATGTTATTGCGAACACGTAAATACACAAATGTCTCGTTAAATTCATCTCAATTTCATTTTCTCTAACTGATATGACACATGATCAAGATATGAAAATCACACAGATAATCATAAAGTGTTCAAATTTGGGAGAATTTACTAGGAATTGAATACTAATGTTCACGTGCGTTATCATTATAAGAAATATTTTACATCAAAACGTATCAAAATGCAGTATAACTAATTCATGCGTATAAAATGCATAAAAAACGAGAAAAATCATAGCACAGCCAATACAATTTCTCTCTATATTTTATCTTAAACGTCTCTTAAAAATTGAGCATTCTTAAAAAACAGTGGCTTAATTTTCCATCGTTAAAAGTTTATTCGTTTACTTTTCAGAGTACTCAAAATTTTAAAGTTTAGAGAGTTAGTTTTTTTTCAAAGAAATATTCAATTTAAGTATACACAATAATTCGCAAATAGAGATTCAATTTATTCATCTAAGTTTCAATTATTGAAGAAACCTTCATAATAAATCCACAAATATTCAAATTCCCTACAAAATATTCCGATATTATATAGTCATATTTTTATTATTTAAGATTTATATTTTTCTTGTCATCTCAAGATATATATGTTAGAGAGTTAGTTTTTTTTCAAAGAAATATTCAATTTAAGTATATACAATAATTCGCAAATAGAGATTCAATTTATTCATCTAAGTTTCAATTATTGAAGAAACCTTCATAATAAATCCACAAATATTCAAATTCCTTACAAAATATTTCGATATTATATAGTCACATTTTTATTATTTAAGATTTATATTTTTCTTATCATCTCAAGATATATATGTAAAATTCATTCTTAAGCATAAAGAATTTTTTTTGCAATACAATTGAAGAATATAGAAAATATTTCGATTACATATAAATTCTTTCTCTTTCGAGAGCATTATTCCATTTAGGATCCACTCGGATCCGCAGATTCCTCCAGACGGAGGCGGGCGTAATTCGCTACCGGAAATCGAGGCTCAAATCCAATATAGATCGATCAGTAAATAGACCTCGAGCCGGCGCGAGATCGTGTGGCCGCGTCATCGAGTGCTCGTGCCCCTCGTGTAGTATTTGCAGCTTGCAAGCTCCGGTGCGTCTTGCCCTCTGGCAAAGCTTGTCGTGACACCGTTTCAGTCGCATTGCGCCGGGTAACGGCCGGGGCCCGGCCCATCCTTCCGTCACCGTCGGCTTTATTCCGCACTAGTCGCACGGCTCGCCCGGCTCCAGCGGTCGTTTCGCGCGTCTCGGTCGTGTCATGCACCAGCGAATGCGGTGAGTCCCCCGGATCGCGCGTACATTCTCGTCCACGCGGCACGCGTTGTATCCGATCGAGCAGCCACCCCTCCCGACTCGCCTTGGATAACTTGTACTAGATAAGCTCGGTTCGCCGCTTCTCGGCAAGTAATATACACGACATCACCAAGCGAGATATATCGTACCATCGGCATACGGGATCACCTCGTCATACACTCTATATTCGGATACCACCGCTTCCGCGTCGGCATAGCGTGGATTTGCGGGTCGGCGCGGCGAAGCGCGCACGGGAATAAAACGGAAGGAGAGATTGCGATGTTGATCCGTCCGGATTATGCTACTTATTACGAGCTTTTGCAAGAAAGATTTAAATTACTCTCTGAAACTTTTAGAGTGAATCTTACTCTGAAGAGCGAAAGCTAACTCTTCAAGACTGAAAAGTTCAATTTTTCTTTTTTAGAATAAGATTCCACTAAAAAAAATTTTGAGAGTATATAATTCGTTGTATACAAAAGTTGAATTGTAGCTGCAAATGAATTGAAAGTCGAATACTTCCGACGAATCGTGTACGTATAACAAAAATTGTGAGTTACTCGATGAAAGAATTCGATTTTTCCGCTGTGAACTTTAAATTGTTTTAGAATGGAATCTACTTACTCTAAAGATTGAAAATTGAGCTAGTCTTGAAAAACAGTGACTTAATTTTCAATTCTTAGGAGTAAGATTTCACTCTACAGAGATTCACTCTAAAAATTTTAAAAGATGCTTATACGTATATTATTGCAGATAAATCGAAATTTGAATCGAGATTACAATTTCGATTATATTGCGCAAAACTCCAGCACTTGCCAAATCTATTATCGCGATTTCATTTGATGTTTTGAATTTATAAAGAAGAAAAGACGTTGTACAAAACTTTGATTTTATTTCAGTCATATTGATTTAATAATTATAACAAAGTTAAAAAGATATATCATCAATCATTTGATGATATTTGATTTCGTCACACATGTTGCTCGCTTGCCAATTAAAACCTATTTGCCGGCTTGGATTCTATTTAAGAGTTATGATTATATTTTTAGATATATCTTACCTTGGCACTTCGCATAACACTGAATCGTTGACCCCTCTCTAAATGACGCATATTTTTATCATTCATCAGGATATACATGTAGGATTATTTGCTTCCTCGGCTACGTTCGTAAACAACATTAAAATAGCACTGGAATTTGCAAAAAGCCCGTATCCGACTTTCGTGTTGCCGTATCATTATTACGTAACATTTAGGATTCTGCAAAAAGAAAGTGTTATATTATACATATAAATTTCATTGACTTTATCACCTTATTGTAAAAATGAGTCTATTAGATACAATTTCAGATGTAGAGCATCATGGCAATCAATATAAAATTTACAAAATTTGACAACACACCATGGGGCTTTCGACTAGCTGGTGGCAGTGATTTTCCGCAGCCACTTACTGTTATCAGAGTGAGTTTTATATTTTCCTTATCTAACGATTATTAATGTTTTAATGTGAACGTTAAAATCACAAAATTATAATTCAAGTAATATTAATTATTTTCATATTCTGAACATGAAAATATAGGACGTAAATATAGGATATGACAGTTCTTATTTCATTCGTAACAATTTAATTATTTAAAATATCATTGTTTTGATTATTGTTTCAGTAATTAAATCTTAAAAATTAAAAGAAAAATAGGATAAAATTAAAATTGAGAAAATCGTAATCTACAGGTCACGGAGGGAAGCCTGGGCGAATGTATGGGTTTAAAGGTCGGAGATGTCGTAGTAAGATTGAACGATCAATCGATTATCAACTTGACTCACGGACAAGCGCATGAAGCACTAGTGCACGCTGGCAACAATTTCGTTTTAGGTGTACAAAGGTAAGTCTCTCGCAAGGATCATCGATTATGCGCGAACATAAGGAAGATTAATCGTAGCATCTTATATACAATTTTTTTTCTTTCAAATAATATAGGAAAATCAGGCAAATAAGAGTGTGATACTTAAAGTGCGTTCGGGGAGATGCTATTAGTGCTAATAGCATCATTCTATCCTTGTTTTATGTCTAATAAACAACAAAGATAGAATAACAGAAGTAGCATCTCCCCGAACGCATCATTAATGAACAAACATTAATTAAATGTGTAGATAAATTGTATTTAATTTGCTTTACATCCAAATCGATGACCAATACTTCAAGTCATCATCAGCGAGATAACAAAGAAAAAATGGTTTCCACAGAAGAATGGAAACTATATTATTTCCTATATTATTTCAATTTCGAAAGTAATTCATAACTCGAATTTTTTGTTTTCTATTTAAAATGTACTCTGAACATAATTGTAAATGTATGTATTTATATAGGATGTAACTCAGAAAAGCTGGAAAAATTGAAATGTTCTTAACTTCTTAAATTACATCATTTAAAATCTCAATTAATAAATTCTTTCAAATGCTTTCATTTGTTTTATCCATTAGAAATTACTAGATAAAAAAAATCATTTTATATTGCTATTAAAAAATACACATTAATCAGATTCATGCATACATATACATAATGTTTACATTGGATAATAACAAAACAGGAAATGGAGATAAATTACGCTCGATTGCGCCGGTTGCACCGCGGCCAAGACGAAGAATAAGCGGGTACATAAATGCAACAGCTAAGTCGAACGCGACTCGCATAAATTAGGCTCTTGTCCCATACGGTCTCTCCCGGGAGAAATCGCTCTTAACCAATATTAGTTCTTGAGATTGTTGATAGTGAAATTGCGCCACGTGTCGAAACAGCGATAAAATATTTACGATATTAATGCGCAATTTATTACCGAGTCTCGATTTATTTTTTCTCGCTGCTGCAAAAAATTTTTAATATCCAATATAAAGCATATTATACATACATACACATATATATATATATATATATATATATAAAATAAAAAATACAAAATAAAATATATATGAGGAAAATAAATAAAATATTTAAAATATATTATCAATCCTTAAATATTATCTATTT